CGTCTCCTGCAGCTAGCCTTGGAAGTGATCACACCTCTGGACGGCCCCGTCGGGCCCCCATGCGTTCCAAGGTTTTCCTGCTTCGTATGCTGACGCTGAAGCGCAAGACGAAACGGCTGCACAAGATACGGCAAGCTTTAGGTAGACACTCCAGGAAGCTTTTTATTACTGGGCCTCTGCCACGCTACTACTACGGGTGCGAGGTTCACGGGGTCTCGGACAGGGAGTGGGGGATTGCTCGACGTGCATTTGGTCGCTGCATCAGGCCCAAGGCTGGATCCCGCTCGCTAACCTCGGCTGTGGTTCTCGACACGGACCCTACCTACTATGGGCTCATTGCCCCCATCCTGAGGTACGCCAAGGAGCTCTGGGGGACCCACATGCGCACGTTCGATTTCATCTTGACCTGGTCTGAGCTCAGATCGTCTTGGGAATCTGTATTCTTAAGTCCTGGGCCCGATCGCTGGATGCAGGTCACGGGCCCCGTCAGTGCCACGAAGCTCAGCCGGCGCCGTATTGGATGGTCGATGCCGAGCTTCACGGTAATGAAAGACGAGTTCGGAGTTATATTGCCGCTCACGCTTGTGAGCCCTGCACTATTGAAACGTCATCTTAGGCTAGCTGTTGTTCACCTTCATGAGCGCCGTGCAGGCGCCAAGTTTCTCCCCACACTTCAACAGCCAGTCCGTGTGTGCCATGATCAGGTTTATGCTATGTTGCAGTCGTCCATATTCACGTCCTTCGAGAAGTGCTCCATCAGAGCTCTCGCCTGTGCTGCAGTATGGAGCAAGGCCCGTGCTCGTGCTGCGGGATATCAGATGGCGAGTGGACTTTCTGAATTATGTGGCAGTGCGGACGACACGATCCTGCACCGGTTGTGGCACTGTCCCGCCTGCGATGACACTCGTAAGGAAGTCCTTGGTAGAGATGCTCACCTGGCTCCCCCCTCTGACCTCACAGAGGAGAGTGACCCAGAGCAGTACCTGCTCTACACCCGAGGGCTCTATGTTCATCCTGGTGACAATCTCCCTCGCCCAGCTCATGATATCCATGGTCCAGGTTCTGGCATCCAGGTTTCGTGGACTGGGGACCCCTACAACCACAGCACCATCCTCAACTGTAGGCTGAATGTTGACGACTCTTGCTTTAGGAATGTGTCTCCTGAGCTCTCCAGGGCGGGGTGGTCGGTGGTCAGTGTTTCAGAACAATGGGAAGTGCAGTGTATTATCTCTGGTCCCCTTCTTGCGCACTTCCCCCAAACGTCTCAAGCTGCTGAATATTCAGCCTACACTACAGCTGCCCAGTGTGGTGATGAAGGTAGTCACATGTTTAGCGACTGCCAGAATGTGGTTAACTCAGCTCTCGACCCCATCCCCACTCGCTTGTGTTTTCGCCGCCCGTACGCGTGGTTTATGCTCCAGGCTTTGGGCCCTATCGCTAGCGCTGTCAGTAAGGTGAAAGGGCACGTTCCCGATAGTTCCGACCTCACACCTGAGGTGCGTGCCCATAAGTTCGGCAATGATTGTGCTGATCAGGCTGCCCGCCTTGCCGCCCTGAGACACCCGTCACCAGACCCAGCTGATGCTGAGCGGGCTGCTCGGGCAGCGCGTGTCTCGCGTGCTGTGTGCAGGCTGGCTGCACGCGTCATGCCTTTGTGGCCCAAACTGGATCTTTCAGAGGCCTCAAGGACCAAACCCCCCTCCGCTCCGAGGCCTCCTCCTCTGCCCCCTCATGAGTGGTCCTGGGAAGGCAGGTTTTGGATCTGTGCCTCGTGTTTTCGTTGTGCTCGTGGTCCCCAGAAGCCCTCCCCTGGGAGGTGTCGTGGAGCGGTCACGATCAAAGGCCTTACGGGGCAGGGCTTGATCGACCATGGGCACAGACCTATATTCTTTGATGTGAACCAGGGTGGAGGCATCCTGGTTGCATGCACCCGATGTTGTTATTACACGTGCGGTGGCCAGGTCAGGAAGCTTGGCAAGCAATGCCTAGGGCCTCCTGACAAGCAGAAGAAGTCCGACCATGGCCGCATGCACGCTTGGGGTGAGATCACGAAAGGTCGGCACCCCAAAAGCGGAGTGCCTCTTTCTTCTGGTCTCGATGACATGTCATCTGAGCCACCGGTCGGCCACCACTCCGACATGGCCAACGACCAGGAGCCCGCGCCGCCCCCCCCGACTGTCGTCCCGCCGTCGGATCGTGTTCGTGACGGGAGGGGGGCGGGACGGGCTGGGCCGCCTGGTCACCTGGGACTTTCTTCCTCCTCCTCCACCCCTCCCAATGCGGAGGGGTTGGTGGAGAATGACGAGCAGCTCCGTTCGGTCAGAGCCCACCTCCCAGCGGAGGATGAGGCCCCGTCTACCTCAGGAGCTGCTCGTGCAAAGTCAGCGGGGTCTGGTGACTCCGACTGAGCCTTCGGTCCTCGGAGTGCCCTTCGTCTGCGTTGGCCACCGCCCTGGTCCCCAGCCCAAGCTGATGTTTCCGCCCGGTGCTGTTTCATCCTGGCGGCTTTCACCTCCTCAGCGGTTGATGTTAACAAAAAAAAGAGAGAGAGAGAGAGAGAGAGAGAGAGAGAGAGCGTGATCCACCGCCGCTTTACTGTGGAAAATTGCCAACCTTTTCCTCCGGAACCCGGGGGTCGCCCCCCCCCCTCCGAAAATCCCCCCCCCCCACCCCTCCCCTCTCCCTCCCTCCCCCCCCCCCTCCCCCGGCAAACCCCCCCTCCCCTAACCCCCTCCCCCCCCCTCCCCCTCAAAAACCGAGGGGGGTCACTACCGGTTCGAACCCCCCCCCGCCCCTCCGGATCCGGAAAACCGGGGGGGGTCACTACCGGTTCGAACCCCCCCCCCTTCGAAAACCGGAGGGGGGTCACTACCAGTTCGACCCTCCCCCCCCCCACGCACCGCCAGCAAACGACTCCCGGTCCCTACCACCGTCCGCATCACATCCCCCACTGTTGTTCCCAGCACCACTGTCCTCACCACCACTGTCCCCACTGGTTCCACCACCGTCCCTACTGTCCCCACCAGTGCCCCCACCACTGTCGCACTGTCCCCACTGTCCCCACCACTGTTCCCACCACGGTTCCACTCTCCCCACTGTCTCCACGGCCCCAACCACTGCCCGACTATCCCCACTGTCCCCACTGTCCCACTGACTCCTCCGCTGTCCCACTGAGCTGTCCCACTGTTCCCACCACTGTCCCCACTGTCCCCACCACTGTCCCCACTGTACCTCTGTCCCATTGTCCCACCGCCGTCCTCGCCACCGCCTTCACCACTGTCCCCACCACCATTGTACCCTCCACTGTCCCACTGTTTCCACCTCATTCCCATTGTCCCCACACCACTGTCCCCACCACCACCGTCACCACCACTGTCCACTGTCCCCCCCTGTTCCCACCATTGTCCCCACCACTGTCCCCACCACTACCGTCCCCACCACTGTCCCACTGTCCCCACCACTGTCCCGCTGTCCCCTCACCACTGTCCCCACCCGAGGGGGGGGGGGTTCGAACCGGTAGTGACCCCCCCCGGTTTTCGAGGGGGGGGAGGGGGGTTCGAACCGGTAGTGACCCCCCCCCCTTTTCATGATGAACTGGGGGGGGGGGAGGGGTTCGAACCGGTAGTGACCCCCCCCGGTTTTCCCGGAGGGGGGGGGGGAGGGGTTCGAACCGGTAGTGACCCCCCCCGGATTTTCGCCAGCAGCGGTAAACACGCTCTTTCAACAAAAAAACCTCCTCCTCCTCCTCCTCCTCCTCCTCCTCCTCCCCTCCTCCTCCTCCTCCTCCTCCTCCTCCTCCTCCTCCTCCTCCTCCCCTCCTCCTCCTCCTCCTCCTCCTCCTCCTCCTCCCTCCTCCTCTCCTCCTCCTCCTCTCCTCCTCCTCCTCCTCTCCTTCCTCTTCCTCCTTCTCCTCCTCCTCCTCCTCCTCCTGCTCCTCCTCCTCCTCCTGTTCCTCCTCCTCCTCCTCCTGTTCCTCCTTCTCCTCCTCCTCCTCCTTCTCCTCCTCGTCCTCCTCCATTCCTTTTCCTTATGAATGACTTCTCCCCGTCGCACCCCGAGGCCGCTCAAATGAGCGGGCCGGGCGTTTCGCCTGAGAATTCCTCACCATTGAGGACCCCGGAACCTAAAAATACGACAATTGTTTCACAGATGGAGCGCGGGTAGTTTTCAAAATGTGGCTCTCGCCTCAGCGCCGCGCACATTCGATTTCAAAATGTGCAAGGGTTTCACGGATTGAGGGCTGGTGGTTTTCAACATGTGGCTCTCGCCTTGGCGCCGCGCACATTCGTTTTACTGAAAAACTTGTAAGATGTTCACGGATTGAGGGCGGCTGGTTTTCAACATGTGACTTTCGCATTAGCGCCGCGCACATTCATTTGGGGAAAAATGCAAGATATTCACGGATTGAGGGCGATTCGTTTTCAGAATATAACTCTCGCCGTAGCGCCGCGTACATTCCTCTTAAAAGTTCCAGAGTTCCACGGATTTCCCATGGTCAGCATGCCAGAAATGGTGTTTAGGAAAGATTCAGGATTATGAGGGTGCAACAGATTTGATGGCTCGCGGTGTTGAAATCCCAGGAATGGCGTTCTGGCACGGCTCGGGATCGTCAAGATGCATCTTGATCCGTGGCGTTGGAGTCCCGAGAATAATGAATAATGTTTTGGCTTGCTTCAAGGTTCTTTTCGATAGCAAATCGGCACGTTCATGGGTGGGGGAGACGCTATCAGGCCACTGTCGGCGATGTATGGGCGATTGGAGGTCGATGCATCTCCTCCTGAGCGTATCCCCCCTAAGACCCTCAGGTTGCCCCTAACTCCTCCTCCTCCTCCTCCACCTCATCCTCCTGCGCGTCCTCGTCCTCGTCCTCGTCCTCCGCCGCTTTATCATCCTCCTCCGCCTCCTCCTCTCCCTCCTCCGCCTCCGTTTTTTTCCTCCTTCCTCATCCACATCTCCCTCCCGCCCCCTCCTCATCCTCCTCGTCATTTCCCTCCTCCCGCCTGCATCACCTCGCGCGCGGCCAGAAGCCGCCCGTGACCGCGCTCGGACACCTCGCGCGCAGGGGGACAAGACGACGACGAGGGGGACGAGGAGGATGAAGACGCCAGGACGAGGAGGCGGCAGAAGACGAGGAGGACAGGAAAGAGGAAGCGGAAGAGGAGGAGACGACGACGACGACGACGACGACGACGACGACGACGACGACGACGACGACGACGACGACAACGACAACCGCGACGACGGCTACGACGACCTCTCCTTGGGCGCGTTCTGACTAGAATTGAGGCGGATCCAACCGTGGCCACGAGAGGCTTTCGAAAAAGCACCCAAACGCCGAAAAGGTACGCTCCTCAAATCTCGATCCTTGGCCCTGGCAAGTCTATCCGCTCAAAATGGTCCCCTGGGACCCGCCCGGGTCCACCCGGACCGTCTTTCATTCCCGATCAATTCTTGACTGTCTCATGGCCCGAAGCTGGAAACGGTAAACATGTCTGCTCGATCCTCGCGCCTCGACGCAGAGAAGAATATGGAGGAGGAGGAGGAAGACATGGAAGAGTTTGGAAGGAGGGGGAGAATGAAGCGGTTGCAACGACGACGACGACGACGACGACGAAGGATGACGACGACGACGAATGACGACGACGACGACGACGACGACGACGACGACGACGACGACAACCACGACGACGTCGACGACGACGACGAGGGGGGCCTGTCCTGGGCCCAGGGTCGGGAAGCACTCCCCTCTCGCGGATATCCTCCTCCTCCTCCTCCTCCTCCTCCTCCTCCTCCTCATCCTCCTCCTCATCCTCATCATCATCATCATCATCATCATCATCATCATCATCATCATCATCATCATCATCATCATCATCATCACCATCATCATCATCATCATCATCATCATCATCATCATCATCATCATCATCATCATCATCAATCATCATCATCAATCATCATCATCATCATCACATCATCATCATCATCATCATCATCATCATCATCATCATCATCATCATCATCATCATCACATCATCATCATCATCATCATCATCATCATCATCATCATCATCATCATCATCATCATCATCATCATCATCATCATCATCATCATCATCATCATCATCATCATCATCATCATCATCATCATCATCATCATCATCATCATCATCATCATCATCATCATCATCATCATCATCATCATCATCATCATCATCATCATCATCATCATCATCATCATCATCATCATCATCATCATCATCATCATCATCATCATCATCATCATCATCATCATCATCATCATCATCATCATCATCATCATCATCATCATCATCATCACCATCATCATCATCATCATCATCATCATCATCATCATCACATCATCATCATCATCATCATCATCATCATCATCATCATCATCATCATCGTCATCATCATCATCATCATCATCACACCATCACCACCACACCACCACCACCACATCATCATCATCATCATCATCATCATCATCATCATCATCATCATCATCACCATCATCATCATCATCAGCATCGTCATCATCATCATCATCATCATCATCATCACCATCAGCATCAGCATCATCATCATGATCATGATCATGCCCGCACGATGGTTTTTCCGAGGCCAGTCTCGAAATGCGTTCGAAGCGACAAGGCAGCACCGTGTGCGACTGGGGGCCACGGCGGCGAAAGAACCATCAACTCAACTCCGAGCTGCCGAAGGGCCCCTCGGCCACGGCGAAGCAGCTCGAGAGCCGAAGGCTATGGAAAGCAAGCTTCCGGCCTTCCACTCACCCCTCGAAAGGGATTGAATTTCAAAAGAAAAGACCATGCCCGCACGATGGATTCTCCGAGGCCAGTTTCGGAATGCGTTCGAAGCGAAAAGGCAGCACCGCGTGCGACTGGGGGCCACTGCAGCGGTAGAAGCATTCACTGAATTCCGAGCCGCTGAAGGGCCCCTCGGCCAAACCACCCCGGACACTCCCGAGGGCCACTCATATTGGATTTGACACCTAAACAGATAGGCGCAGCGGACAGAGCTTCAGACTGCAAACGAGCGTCGAAGAAACTGCGGGCCCAGCGGGGCGCGAGTGGCTTCGGATAAGGTTGCGCCACCAAAATCTACGAAGGCCCCCCCGGAGCACGACCTTCTAAACTATGATGTGGCTTGCCTGTTCTGCCACATCAAGTTCGCGAGCCCAAACACTGGCAAGCAAGCTCTGACACATCTACGCGGAATCCCAAAAGCCCTGTCGGCTTCTTCCAAGGAGTTCCGCCATGGCAATAGTGCGAGGCCGCCCAAAACACGCGTGGCTGCGTTCGAAGACGCCGGAGCGATGGAACGAGCCAGAGACGCGACATAGCTGGATTCTCAATAGCGAACGGGATATGCACGCGCCTACAACTAGCCCAGAGCCCCTCGCAAAATGTCACAAGCTTGTTGGCCATATCAATATGAGCCCTATCTTCTGGATGGGTCACTGCGGCCAGACCCCGGATCTCCGCGTCGGACCTCAGGCGACTCGGCCACAAGCCCGCTTCACCTGGAGGTCTCAGCGGCCCCGCGCCCTTGATCCTCGTCCAGGTCTGGCACGGGACGCCGAAGCGCATGCCCCAGATCAGACCAGCATCCAGCCACCCTCGCAGCAGCCTCGCCACCTTGGGAACGGTGAGATCCCAGTCGGGCCCCCAGGCGATGCCCCACTCGATCACTAATGCGCCCTCACGTCGCAGGGCGGCCGCCAAGATACCTTCGCCCGAGAAGACCTCCACGAAGACAGGAGGCGCCGGGAAGCGTCGGCGGCGGGGGCCCAGCAGCTTCCTCAGCGCCATCTGAGGAGGGAGGCCAGCCGAGAGGGGGCCAGCAGGGCCGCGCGCTGCACCGCGGGGCGCACCCTCTGCATCTGCTCGTTTACGCGGCCTGGCTCGAGGTACCTGGCGACCGAGGAGCCGGACCTCCGGCGCCCTCGCAGCTTCGCGCTGGCCGGGGCCCGCAGCGCGAGGGCCAGCTCGACGGACGGGCCCGAGTGCCTGAGCTGGCACAGCTGCAAAACCAGCACCTCCACGCCAGCGTCGATCGCCGCCTGCTTGAACAGGGCGCTGACCTGCACCAGGGCGAAAGGGAAAAGCGGCGCGCTCGGGTGCGTCGACGCCTTCGACCACCGCAGTGCCGCCGGCAGGAACCCGTAGAACGGCGCGTCGAAGGGAGGCCACCTCGTCGCGGACTTGCGTCTTGCTCGGCACCGCCAGCTCCCGCGGGCGAAGAACCAGCGACCAGCCCCCGCAGGCTCCGCCGGGCGCCGGCGGGATCAGGCGTGACCCCAGCGCCCTGAGAGCCTCGGGCGGGCGCAGGTAGCCCGCGAAGGTCACCAACACGTAGATCGCCGCGCGCGTCTGGCCCACGTCGATCAGCCTCGCCGCGACGAGGGCCACGACCTCCCAGGGCAGCGGGAGCCCGGCACGCGCAGGCACCCGTCTCCTCCAGCCGCGCAGAGACTGCAGCGCCTTCGGCAGCCCCAGCCCCCTGCGAGCGAACTGCGGCATCATGAACTTCAGCGTCGCCAGCATGCGCGCGCCCCGCTCGGGGTTCCAGCCTTCGGCATACTGTTGGCCCATCCACTGCGCCAGCGGGTCGTCGGCCGTCTCGGCACGCAGCGCAACCGACGCGGTCGCCAGCCAAAGCGCGAACTCCTCCCACTGGTGCAGGTACTTCGCCCTCGCGGCGACCGTCACGGAGAGGGCTCTCAGCGCGTGGCCCGCAGAAGCCCGCAGGGAGGCGGCCTCAGGCGCCCTTGCCGCTGCCCTGCCCGCGCGCCTGGCCGCTGCCTCGGCTGCCTTCGCCTTCAGGCGAGGGCCCGCGCCACGGCGGCTCCGCGTCGGCCTCGCAGAGGTGGGAGCCACCCCCGTCGGCCGAGGCTGCGGGGCGGCGCCTCGCGCCGTCGCCGCCGGGAGAGCGGGGCTCCTGCGCGGCCAGACTGGCGACTGCATCCCACTGAAGCCGCGCCCCTATACGAAGGGCCCGGCGCGACGGCAGGTCCACTGGATTCGCCTCCGACGGCATCCAGCGCAGTGCCGCGCCGATGCCGCCCGCAACGGCAATGGCGGCCCACCGACGGCAGATGCGGGCCATCCTCGGCCGCGAGGAGCGGCCCGTCGAGAGAGCCAGGGCGGCGACGAGGCTATCCGAGAGGAAGAGAACACGATGGCCATGCTGTTTCGCATCTCGAAGTACACCTTTCAGGGCGTGAATCAGGACCCCCCCTCTAGGGCAGCGGCGCACCCCGCTCGCTCCCACGACCCACTAGAGATGACAACCCAATCACCCGAGACGCACTCCACCTCCAGAGGCTCGAAACCCATAGGCTGCAAGTGGTCAGTCGCTGGAATTTCGAGGACATCACGTTGACGAGGTTTCCGACTTGTGCCGATCGAGCTGTCGGACCTCACGATGTCGAAGGGCTCTGCGGGAGCCTGCGAGCTACCGAAGTCAATCGGCCTCGACGGCGGCTCGGTGTCGATGAGGCTCTCGTTGGGCTCCAAAAGCATCATGAGCTGCCCCCGAGGGGCCTTCGCATCGGGGTCGCGAAAGCGCCAGCGTTCCTGAACACGACCAAGCCTCTGGACAATGCTTGCGTCAAACTCTCGCGCACACAAACACCCTCGGCCCCTCTCGGAGGCATCCGCGCACGGGACTCGCCCCGGCCACTCGGCGCGCAGGTCCGCCAAGGCCAGCGGCACGACGCCCATGGCCCACGCCAGCTCCCGCCACATGCTGGGCCACCACTGCCGCGGCGCCTCGCCCGCCTTGGCGGCGAAGCGGTAGACAGCAGAGAAGATGGATAGCAGCGGCCTCTCCTGGCCATGAGGACGGAAGTGCAGTGCCCGACCACCCGCCTCACCTGCTGCGCCGAGACCTTCGGCATGTCCAGGAGGGCCCGCGTGGCGAGGATCAGGCGCCACGCCCTGCGCGGGGTCGGAGACACCGACCCGCGCTCGCCATCGATGACCCAGCCCAGCAGCTGCGCGCGCAGGGCCGCGCTCCCCCCTCGTGAACGGGGAGCCCGCTCTCGCGCAGCGTCGCGACCATGTCGTTCTCCATCTGCTCGGCGGTGTCGCGATCCAGCGAGAGCGAGGCGAACTTGTCGACGTACTCGAGGTGAGCACCGCCAGCCAAGCCCGGGCAGATCTGGCGGTCCACCACCCTCGCCGCCGACGCCAGCCCCGCCCGATCAGCAGCCGACTCCGACACCCGCTGACAGACGGCCAGCGCGCGGGTCCATCCCATGGGCAACACCGCAAGACGCGGCCACAGCAGCGCGAAGTAAGGCCGCCAAGCGTGCGGAAGCTCCACGTTGTAGAAGGCGTCCGCGACGTCTGCAGAGGCCGCCCACAGGCTCGCGCCATCGGGCAGCTCGATCGCCGCCAGCGCCGCCTCCGTGGCCAGATGCACGTCCGCGGGGTCGCTGAACAAGAAGTTGGCGGGCGGCGCGCCCACGTCGAGTCGCCGCCGCCCACTCTTCCCGGGCACGCTGAAGAGACCCACCTCGTACATCACCTCGATGGGGTCGCCGACGAGATCGATCACGCCTGCCTCCAGCAAACGAAGCACCAGCGCGGCGTAATGATGACGGTCTCGAAGAATCGGACCCACGCAGGGCCCCCCGAAGCCAGCATCTCTTTTCAACTGCAAAACTTCGGTCTTTGGCAAGACCTTAACCGAAATATCACGATAGACGGAATCAAACACCTCGGACTCCAGAAGCCGCCCCAGCGCGACAGGACAGTTACAGGGAGGCGGCAGCGAGGGCCGGGAGACGCCCATCACCTCCGCCCTGGTCGACAGGGCGCCGTCGTAGGACAGAGCAGCCTGGAGCTCCTGCAGGGCTGCCAAAGGCTGAAGGTCGCCCGGCGGGGGGCCCAGCTGCGAGACGGCGTCCGCGATGCGCGACAGAGAGCGTTGCTGCGCCAACGTCGCGTCGACCAGCGGCAGCGAGCAGCCCCCACCCCCAGCGCCGCCGAGGCCGCCGAGCGACTACACCGCCTGCCTGGCGAGCCACGGCGCGGAGGCAGCGCGGCGCGCCCGCCTCCGCGCGCAGCGCGAGCCCTGCCCAGCAGCCAGTCCGCCGGGGTCAGCGGCAGCAGGCACTGACAGCGGAAAGATGTCCAGCTGCCGCTCCGCGCCCACGCCACCGCGCCTGCCGCGACTGCAGCGCAGGCACCCGCCGAGGCAGGCCCCGTTCCCGTAGCGCCTGGAGAGGCTGGGCCAGCACACTCCTCCAGGCAACATGTCATCATGACTTCGCGTCTCCGGCTTCGGCCCCGGGGGCGGCCTTCGCTTCTTCGCGAAGCTTGTGAGCGTTCTTCTTCAGTTGACTGACGCGCTCGAGCTCCTTGCCCACCGCGGCGAGGGGCGCGGGGCAGGCCGTGCTGCACGGGCGGCTGGAGGCCCCTGCCCCGCCCATGAAGGCGCTGATCTCCTCCTGCGCCAGCTTCTGCTGCGATGCGCCCTGCTCGCGCTGCTTCTCCTCCAAGAAGTGCTCGATGAGCTGCATCCTGCGCAGGAGTCGCTCGACGCCCACGAGGTTCGCCACGTTCACCTCGTCGATCGTCGCGAGGTCCTCCAGCACCGTGCTCAACGCGTGGTGCTCCGCGACGCCGTAGTCCGAAGTGCTGAGCCGCTTCCGCGCCTTCCAGCTCTCGCGATGCTGGATCGGCCCTCCCTCGCGCAGCAGCCAGGACACGCACCAGGAGGCCGAGCGCGGCTGCAGCACGAAGAGCGGATCCACCACCTCCTTCGCGGTCTCGGCGACGGCGAGCCAGCTGCGCGGGCCCACGCTGCCAGGAAGCCAAGCCGTCGTCCGAGGAGCGGACCCGCGCCACTTCGACGCGAAGTCGGCCCGTCTCCAGTCCTCGAAGATAAAGGCCACCGCCGACACGCCAGCGCCCAGCGTAACGATGCCGCGCCTGCCAGCCCTCGCCGCCAGCACGATGCCAGGGATCGGGCCGACCTGCACCACCGTCCCGAAGCTGAACGAGACGACGTCATCAGCCACCACCCACGCCCAGCCCGCGGGCGCCTCCCCGTTGGGGCCGAGAGGCGGCCCTCCGTCGTCCTTCCAGCCAGGCCCGGGCGGCGCGCCAACGGCGGGAGGAGCCCCCGCACCGATGGGGGCCCAAGCGGCAGGCGCGGGCGGCGGGGCCGCGGCTGGCGGGGCGCCCAGCGGCACGACGGCGGCCGCGCTGGCGGCAGGCGGCGGCGCTCCAGCGACCGAGGCCCCCGCAGCAGGCCCCCTTGCAACCGGCACGGCGGCTGGCACCGCCGCCGCGGGCGCGGGCGCTCCAGGCAGCAGCCCACCGCTCATCGAGATGAGCGCACCACCAGCAGGCAGCGGAGCTCCAGGGTGGCGCCGCGCGAACTCGGAGTCCGCCTCGGCGGTGGCCGCGGCGAGCCAGGCAGCCTTGCGCTCCGCCGAGGGCGCCCTCCCGAACCTGTAGGTCGCCTCGGGAGCGATCCCAGGAGGGGGCGGCCACCTCACCGCCGAGAAGCGCCCCGCGGCGATGTCGGGCCCAGCAGCCAACAGCCGTTCCGCGTAGACCATGTCGTCAGGCGTGACGATGATGACCCCACCACCCTCCTCTGGTGGAAGAGCGGCGCGCCTGCCACGTTGTACAACACCCAGGCCCACGCCTCCGCCATCAGCGGCAGCCGCCAACGCCAGGCGCGAGGGAACCCCTCCAGCAGGCGCCGTGCCCTGGCCCCGCGACTCGGCCGTGAAGCGGAGCGGCCCCCGAAGGCGCAGCGCCGCGATCGCGCCCACGTCGCCGAACGAGGCCCCGGCGAGGCCTGCGGCCAAGCAGGCGAAGGCCACCGCGCTCGCGGTGGCGCCCACGGTCGCCGCAGGGTACGGCGGGCAGGCCGGGCACGCGGGGCAGGGCGGGATGTCGGTCGCCGGGCAGCGCGCGACCCAGGCCTGCAGCGCGGGCACCCCCCAGCGGTCCAGAACTCCCAGCAAGCCCTCCGGGAGGCCCAGCCAAGACATACGCCGCGGACCACCGCGGCGCTCAGCTCGAGAGCCGAAGGCTACGGAAAGCAAGCTTTCGGCATCTCACCCCCCCCCCTCGAAAGGCATTCAACGTCGAAAGAAAAGACCATCATCATCATCATCCTCGCCTCCTCCTCCTCCTCCTACTACTACTCCTCCTCCTACTCCTCCTCCCCAGGGGTCGAGTAGGGGATCGACTGGGGCTTGAGTAGGGCTCCAGCAGGGATCGAGGGCTCGAGTAGGGCTCGAGTAAGGCTCGACCAGGGTTCGAGTAGGGCTCGAAGAGGGCTCGAGTGGGGCTCTTAGGGCTTTCTGTTCCTAGGGCTCGAGTAGGGCTCGATTAAGTATGTACGCCAAAACTGACTGATTCGTCGACTCTGCGAAAAATACGAATAATGCTCGGTAGATCTACGGAGCATTCTGCGTGTCTCGCGCAAATTCAACGGGAAATCAGGGGTTAATCAATTAGGTAGTCGATCCCCAGCTCGACGGGTGAGAATGATGCTATGATAAGATTGGCCCAGAATACTTTCAAGGATTTCCAGTCCAGAGTGCCAGAGCGGAAAACTAGGAATCGTGGGGAATCCTGGAAATCTTGGAAATCCTGGAACGCATCATGATCATGACCTCTTGCTCCTCCGAGTTCTGTTTCTTGCCTCGCCCCCTCAAGCCGCCCTCCCCCCTCTCTCCTTGGGGCCCTCTCGGCTGCTTCTGCTGCTCTACCTTCCCGCTCGGGTGACTTGGTGTCCCCGCCCCCAGGCGCTCCAGGGCTAGCCAGGAGTCGAATTATATTGGAGACGGCCCCCGGATGAGCGGCACGGCGGGCCCACCAAACAAACTCAAACGGAACCCAGGCAGCCCAAAAAAGCAGCCAAAACACAGTGCCGCCGCCAGACTGGACCAGCGCGCTCCGCTATTCGCAGAAGCAACTGCTCGCGAATGGCCTGGATCCGCCGCGAGGAATTTGCGATCCCCCACATCGAGCAAACAGGTGTTTTTCGAACGTCTGCGATTAGGCAACTTGCGAGCAGTGGAACGCGCTCGGTGACAGAAGCCTTGGTGCTCTGTGCTTGCCCGCGACGAGGGCCACGGTTGGCACTGCCAGCGGGAGCGGCTCCGCACGGAGCTCACCACGACAAGCGCACAGGCGATCCTTCCTCCTCCTCCTCCTCCTCCTCCTCCTCCTCCTCCTCCTTTTCCTCCTCCTCCTCCTCCTCCTCCTCCATTCCTTCTCCTTATAGATGACTCCTCCATATCGCAACCCGAGGCTGGTCGAAAGGGCGGGCCAGGCGTTTCGCCTGAGACTTCCGCACCAATGATGACTCTGATGTTTGGAAGGTGACAACATGTTCACAGATGGACGGTGGGCCGTTTTCACAACGTGGCTCTCGCCTTAGCGCCGCGCACATTATTTTTCATACTTTGGAAAAGCTTCACATATTAAGGGCGGGCCGTTTTCAAGTTGTGGCTATCGCCTTAGCGCCGCGCACATTCGGTTTACGAAATTGCAAGAGTTTCACGGGTTGAGGGCGGGACATTTTCACAACGTGGCTCTCGCCTTAGCGCCGCGCACATTATTTTTCATACTTTGGAACAGCTTCAATATTAAGGGCGGGCCGTTTTCAAGTTGTGGCTATCGCCTTAGCGCCGCGCACATTCGGTTTACGAAATTGCAAGAGTTTCACGGGTTGAGGGCGGGACATTTTCACAACGTGGCTCTCGCCTTAGCGCCGCGCACATTATTTTTCATACTTTGGAACAGCTTCAATATTAAGGGCGGGCCGTTTTCAAGTTGTGGCTATCGCCTTAGCGCCGCGCACATTCGGTTTACGAAATTGCAAGAGTTTCACGGGTTGAGGGCGGGACATTTTCAAAATGTGGCTCTCGTCTTAGCGCCGCGCACATTCGGTTTAGAATTCGCAAGAGCTTCACGGATTGAGGACAGGCTGTGTTCAGAATGAGGTTGCCGCCTTAGCGCCGCGCATCGTCGTTTTCAAAGCTTGCAAGAGTTTCGCGGATTGAGGACATGTTGTTTCAAAATGAAACTCCCACCTTAGCGCCGCGCACATTCATCTTAAACCATTGTCAGAGCTTGACGGATTGAGGGCGGCTACAGTTCAAAATGTAGCTCTCGACTTGGCGCCGCGCGTATTCTTTTTAAACAGTTCCAAGAGTTTCACTGGTTCTTATGTTTAACGCAACAGAAACTGCGTTTTGCAACGATTCAGGATTGTCAGGGCGCGAAAGTTGCGTTGATTCGCGGTGTTGAGGTCCCAGGAATGGTGCTCTGGCACGATTTAGGATCGCCAAGACTGAACAATCAGGTTAATTCGTGGCGTTGAAGTCCTGATAATGGTGTTTGGCACGCTTCAAGATGATCTCACGGTTGTCCCCCAGCGGGGCAATTTCCTCAGTGGGCATGACTCTTTGTAGGGGCATATGAAGAGGGATCTTGGAGGGAGGGTGTATTTCAACATCTTTGATGACTCTTGGGATACACTGGTCCTCCCTCTTCCTCGTCCCCCTCCTCCTCCTCCTCCCTCCTCCTCCTCCTCCTCCACTTCCTCCTCCTCATCATCATCCTCGAAGCACAGGTCGAACACAGGCCCCCCTGTTGACCTCAGACGTTTCGAAAAAATGCAGCATCGCGGAAAAGCACGACCAGAGCACCAGACCCCACCCTTCTTGCGGCATTATTCAAACGGATCGATATGTGAGGGTCCCAGGTCCCGAAGCCAGGCGAAAACGCTTGATGTGAAATTAGCCTGGCGAAAGGCCCAACCATATGCAACTGCGGGTACCGTCGTTGCGAGTCTTGCCGTCAATGGATCTTCTTGAGGGGCCACGAGACGTGTGAAAGGTGTGCCGAAATGTGGCGGGACCGCCATGCGGGCGCTGCCACTGTGGCCTTAGGTGGAGCTCCCTATGGGGCCACGGCACGCGTGAGGGGCGTGCCAAGATGGAGAGTGGAGCCGTATGCGGGCGCTGACACTGGGGCCTTGGGTGGAGCCCCCTTTCGGGCCATGAAACAAGTGAGGGGTGCACCGAAATGCCGGGTGGAACCGCATGCGGGCGCTGCCACTGGGGCCTTCGGTGGAGCTCCCTATGGGGCCACGAAGCGTGCAAGGGGTGTGACGAAATGGGTGTGGAACCGCATGCGGGCGCTGCCACTGGTGCCTTAGGTGGAGCTCCCTATGGGGCTACGAAGCGTGTGAAAGGTGTGCCGAAATGGGGATGGAACCGCATGCGGGCGCTGCCACTGGGGCCTTGGGTGGAGCTCCCTATGGGGCCGCGAAACGTGTAAGGGGTGCACCGAAATGCTGGATGGAACCAAATGCGGGCGCTGCCACTGGGGCCTTAGGTGGAGCACCATTTGGGACCACGACACGTGTGAGGGGTGTGCCGACATGGAGGGTGGAATTGCATGCGGGCGCTGACCCTGGCGCCTTGGGTGGAGCCCCCTATGGGGCCAAGACAACGTGTGAGTGGTGTGCCGAAATGGGGGTGGAACTGCATGCGGGCGCTGCCAGTCGGGCCTTCGGTGGAGCTCCCTATGGGGCCACGGCACGTGTGAGGGGTGTACCGAAATGGGAGTGGCACTGCATGCGGGCGCTGCCAATGGGGCCTTCGGTGGAGCTCACTATGGGTCCGGGGCGCACCGAAATGGTGGGTGGAACCGCATGCGGGCGCTGCCACTGGGGCCTTGGGTGAAGCTCCCTATGGGACCACGAAGCGTGTAAGGGGTGCACCGAAATGGGTGTGGAACCGCATGCGGGCGCTGCCACTAGTGCCTTAGGTGGAGTTCCCTATGGGGCCACGAAGCGTGTGAGGGGTGTGCCAACATTGAGAGTGGAACTGCATGCGGGCGCTGACACTGGGGCTCTCGGTGGAGCTCCCGATGGGACCACGACACGTGTGAGGGGTGTGCCGAAATGGGGATGGAACCGCATGCGGGCGCTGCCACTGGGGCCTTGGGTGGAGTTCCCTATGGGACCACGAAACACATGAGGGATGTGCCGAAATGGGGGTGGAACTGCATGCGGGCGCTGCCAGTCGGGCCTTCGGTGGAACTCCCTATGGGCCCCGAAGCGCTGTACTTGGTGCAGAGGGCAGAGGCAGGGATGGGAGGAGAGAGGGAGGAGTGAGGAGTGAGGAGTGGACGCGAGGCGCTGTCTCCTCTTAACGAGGACCCAACACCACAGGATGGTTTGGAAAAACTGCGCCGCCAGAATCTCAGGGCCCCCCCGAAGCGCGGACCGCTCACTGCCCCCCGCCGGAGCCAGAGCCGCTGCCCGAGCACGGGCCGGATCTGGAGCCGAGTTCGGACTGACTGGAAACATCGCCAGAACTCACAGGAGAAAAACTCACTAAAAAAGGATGTGCGGGAGCCTCTCCTTCTGAACACGAAGGAATGACAATTCTTCGCTGCTGCGCGAGCACCCCCAACGCTCATGACAACAACGATAACAACGAATTCAGCAATCTATGCTTTCCTCCTGCTGTACCCCATGGAAAGATCAATTACGTGACACGGAACCAAAAGAAGTATCACCGAGGACTTTGCCGACCCGCTGTGTGAACTCGCTGGCTAAGCCTGCTCGAGCCCGGAACGGCGCCGTGGCGGCGCCCCACCTCGGCGGGGTAAGACGGCCCCGCGGGACTTCCACACCAACCCCCCACCCGCCACTCGGGAGCGAGGGGGTGGTTTCACCGTGCGACCTAGGGCCCAACGACCCCTGCCCCGAGGCTTGCTCTCTGTTGCCCCGTTCGGCTCCTGGACGGCTCCGCGGCGGCACCCAGGCCGTCCCAGACGCGGCCGCTCGGGGTGTCCGAGGACTGGCCCGCCACGGCCCGGCAACCCCCTATCCCACCTAAGACGCCAAGGCAGATGGGCCTCGGGAGACACAAATAGCTCCCCGTATGCCAGGATTCCCCATGCTTTCCCCAGGAATCCAAGTCTCCAGGATTCCTGGATCCCACGATTCCAATTAATGAAT